TATATTATTAAATCTAAAATATTATAAATATAATTACAATTATTAATAATTATTCTAATGATGTTTTTGTTTGTATTTTAATTTTAGAAATGTCTGACTGATGCGATCAAAGCCTAAAGCGCTGATGTGGTCAACCATATATTGAACACTTATTCAAATACAGAGAAAATTTGAGAAAAATTATTTATTTCTTGTTGATTATAAATTACAAGATTTATATTTAATTTTATGATTTAATTTTAATTTCAATATATAAATAAATTCTATATTATAAAAAACTGCATTTAAGTGTTATTTTTTATACAGACTATTTTAATCTGGGAGTATTACATTAGCACAAAACATTAGCTCAAAAAATAAACTTAAAACTACATGATAAATATAGTTTTGTAAAAATTATTATCTTAATAATTATAAAGTCGGCTCCAATTAACTTAATTATTATTAAAATTAGTTAATCCTACCAATTTAATATGATATAGATTAATTTATATATTTTTTCGAGTTGATGTCTTTGGAGATTTTTACTTTTGAGCTTTTGTCCTTCAAGCTCATATTTTTCAATCTAATGTTTACGTCAATTCAAACTAGTTATAAACCAATCTGGATAATAGTTTTATTTTGTTCAAATTTCCAATATACTAAATAGGTTTAAATAAATAATTCTGATTAAACAAACATAACAATTAGATTAATGCAATACTGATTGAATGGTAGTTTAGTGCATCATATTAGCTAGACAATCTACTTATATTTTATGATTAAGTTTAAGTATTGGTGTTAATAATTCATAGAATAATTCTAGATATAAATTCTTGAATTTTAATTATTAATTAACTTAGCTTATATCTCTATATTACAGTATATTTCATCTTTCGTAAATCTATAATATAATTTAAATACAAATAAAAGCTTAATTACTAATATATAAATTTTAAAATGTAATTAAGATAGCACTAATGATAAAAATATATAACCCTTTACCAACATGATACGGATTGTTTATTCATGTTAATGATGCTATTTTAATTATTACAGTGTTTGTACACATGATTATATACTTTATATATCAAATTTACACTTACTACATTGTAATTAAATATAAATAAATATTGCATATTCTAATTTGATTGATAATTACACAATACATTTAATTGTAGGTATATAAGCCCAACTCTAACCCCATTTTACAAATCATCTCTGTTTGAATATAATCGATACAAAATGAACAAGTTCATAATAGTCGGTTTATTGGTGGCCATTGGTTACCAGTGCTGTTTGGCGGATGAGGCGACCCATAAGGCGTGGCACGAGTTTCACGACCAGATGAAGGCAGCCGTGTGTAAGCCCGAGACCACCGACACTGCGATGATTCAAAGGTTGACGGAATGCAAGAAAAAGTTCTTCAATGTCCCGGCTGACAAAATGGCCGAACACGAGGCCAAGGTGATTTGAATTGACATAAATAATTGAATCTAGATTTAATTGTCTTAAATTGTGTTTATTGATAGGCAATGGAGGCGTATAAAGAGTGCGGAAAGGATGATGATGTGAAAGCGTACACCAAGGTCGATTTGACCAATAATGTGAACAAGTACGTTCTGATGGGTTGGTGCGGTAAAGGTTTCCATAAGTGTGTTCACGAGAAGTACCAAAAGGCCAAAGGTGATGTGAAAAAGGACCCTGATGCTAAAAAACATTCCACACCCGAACAGAGGGCCGAATTCAAGGTATGACATCGTGTTTAATTTTATTACATACATTAATTAGAATATTAACCATTAATTTGATAATTCTTTGTTTCCACAGACTTGTCTAGAAAAGGCCGTCAAAGCCTAGATCTAAATATCAAGCAAATTATTTATAAGATATGTAAAATTAACTTTATATAAATTGTTGAAAATTTCCAAAAAGTAATAAAACACGCTTGATGTTTTTCAAGAATGCATTTGACATTTTATGCACAATTTACTAACATTTTACTAAAACATTGCTTGCATTAAATTATATAAAACCGCTTATATTATGCATAAACTATTGAAATTTTAATTACTCTTATTAACTAATAAAATGAAACAATTTAACTTTTAACGCTACAAATAAAGTTTAAATTAAATAAGAAAATAACTAAATTATTATCTAAGAGATAGCAATACTTATTCCATAATTGAAACAAACCTAAGGGTAAGTTGTTATTGAATATGTAATTAAGAGTTGGTTCTATGATCTCCTTAAGGAAAGTTTTTAACACATTTAAAATGAATTAAATTACATTTTACAAATCAATAACTACATGTACATGGTCAATTAAAAAAATTATATACCAAAATGTTTATTATAAAAACCAAATTAATAAATTAATAATATATTGATAAAATTGAAATCATCAGAGAATTGAATACTTTTTTCTAGCAAGAATTATCAAGTTTCATAGTTTCATAGTTAATAAGTACACATTCCTAGGCAACAGAATCCGAGTTTCATATAGATCGGTTAAGTGGTCTAAGTACAGGAGGTTTTAAAATATTAATGAGTCGATAAGTGAGCAAATATTTGAGTTCTAGAACCTTCTACTTCCCATAGGAATAATGTAGTAAACGATATAATGTATCAACTTGAAAATTTTCATATGTTATTTAATGCATAATATATTATACAAATCATCAAAAATATTTTACAGTTTTTTAAATACATCTTAATGTAACTAAATTTAGAACTAAAATAAAAATCTATTTTTTATGTTAATTATCCTCAATTTGTAAATTTAATTTAATTTTTACATAACAATTATTATAATAGCTGAATATTAATTAATTTATATCATTATAAAACAGGTTTAATTAATTGATATATTTGTACAGAATATTCTATTTGTCATACAATTGAAATAACAATGTGTTGATTACATAATATCAAAATTAATGAATATTTATTTAACAGTATGAATTAATAATGGGACCATGATCGTCATGTAAATGCACTTATCAATCACTATTGTTTAAACAGATATAATATTGACTAATTATTTCCATATATTAATTGTTATATATTTGAGTCTTACCTCGGCCAAAAGTAGANCAGATATAATATTGACTAATTATTTCCATATATTAATTGTTATATATTTGAGTCTTACCTCGGCCAAAAGTAGAATTAAAGTGACTAGATCATTTTGTGTCTCCCGAACTAAACAATGGACAAATTGCTACTAATATGTGTTGTAATGGCCGTAACGTATGAGGGCTGCGGAGCATTGGAAGGAACCGAGGACCAAATGAAATGGATGAAAGAATTTGCCAAGGTATTTTGTCAGCCTGATAAAACTGATGATGCGATCATGGCCAAATTGGGCAAATGCGAAGACATTCACACCAAAACAGAATCGGCTGATCAATTGGCGTTTCACAATAAGGTAACTATTTTTGGTTTTAATTTATCAAATTAATCACATAGATTACAATACTTATCGTTTACAATACTAAAGTATACAGTATTTATATTCAGTATTGTATATTTATTGTATAGTATTTTAAGTTAGTAATTCAACTGTATTTACGTTTATACATATTAATAAATAATATTATGCAATATAAACACTAATTTTAGTGGATGGACAAAAGTAAGGAGTGCCTTAAAAGCGATGCCACGGCTAAGAAATACACAAAAGTGAATCTTGGTAATGAGAAATATAAACAAGTACTGATGATGTTTTGCGATAGTGAATACCACACGTGTAGTATGAAAGTGATCATGGACAATAAAGAATTGATGGCTGAGGGACAGAAATTGGCAAAAACTATGAAAAAGGACGGAGAAACTGAACTTCATGTATACTCTTTTATTAATTACACTTACCATTATTATTTTAATAATTATTATTCTTTATTTAATACAGAAATGCTTGACAGAGGCGATCAAGAAGTGAATATAATTCAGACTATAATAAATAAATTTTTTAAGTCTGTTTTAAAGTAAAAATAAAATAATTGATATTTTTAAATTTAATATTCAAAATGATAGTTAATAAAAAGCATAAATTGAAATACTCGTATTATAATAAAAATATATAGTTTACAATATACTACATTATAGATTTTTATTATTTATAGTACTATTGTTTATTTAAAAATTTTATATTAAAATTATTTAATAAATTTATTAGCGCAACAAAACATGCACTTTAAAATAATAGTCTATTATTATATCCATGAATTTGTTATAATATCGGAACATTTGAATAAACAAAAGTATAATTGAATATTGATAATTATCTTTAAACATATTTAAATATCACTAAAGTATGCACATACAATATAATAATTATAGAATTAATTACCAAATTGTAATTAAGTATAAGACATTGTATAAACAGCTAATTGCATATTATATAATTTAATGTATCCATTATATTATGCATTATTTCCGATATTAATCATATTACCAAAATTTTTAGGAAAAATAAAATAATCTCATAAATTACATGTTAAGAATGTTTATGAATTTAAGTAGATTTATATTAATGATGGTAATCTTGGGGTCGTGTCGGGGCCTCGAGATTATTGACGAATATGAAGAAAAGACATTTATTGAGCCCTTTGTTAAATCATTTTGCAATTCAAATAAAACCGATACCAATATTGTCAATAAAGTTATAGAGTGTGACCACATGTATAAAAATACTCTAACAACTGATGTTAAAACGTTTAAACAAGATGTAAGTATTTTAATCATTATTGTTAATTAATAATTATCAAATAATTACTGACAAGTGAGATAATCTTTCTTAATTTTGAATTACAATTGAAGTGGAGCAATTA